TACTTAGATATGTTTGAGAATTGTGCCCTGGTCTTCAACTTAACCCAAGAAGCCAAGTAATTCAGGGTTTTAAATGATCCTTCAGTGATTCAGTTTCCTCACTAGATTGCAAACAAACAGCTCCACAGGTCTCATGTATGAAAGCCAAACCTGTCTAATCTACCTCACACTATTGAATGTTCAGGAAATATTTTTAAAATGTGGAGTACAAAGAAATGTACTCCAGAGGGGGATGCTTGTTCTTAATTCTTTCTCTTGTTTGTAATTATTGTACCAGAATCTGGGCTGACCCAAGAGATCTTGATGTCTGAAATGGAGCAATCATACCTGTTTGGGCACACAGTATTTAAAACCAACCAGTTGTTTGGCACATAAAAAAGAAAATCTCCTGCCCATAAAAATAGAATAATGACATATTAAATAACTAATAATTTCCTGCCTTTTCATGACATCCAGAATCTGTTGTCAGAGGTATCTGTCTTGTTTTTCCTAATAGTAGAACCAGCTCTGACCCACTGCATCAATAAGGGGTGCACTATATATTACCTTGAGTTGCTGCAGTTCAGTAGCTGAACAGGAGGGAGAACTCAGACCCATTTATACCACATATGCATCTCTAACTGTTACTGGCATACCCTTCTACAGCAGGGGTAGGCAACCTTTCCCCTTTAAGGGCCAAGGGACTTCAGCTCCCAGAAGCCTCAGCCATGTTGGCCAATAGTCCCATGTTGGCCAATAGCTCCTGGGATTCTGGGAGCTGAAGTCCCTCGGCCCTTAAAGGGGAAAGGTTGCCTACCCCTGTTCTACAGCCTGCTTTTGCCCATGCAGTTGGCTGTAGTACACCTTGATAATTGTTGTAAGATAGCTCATAATGTAATTCTGTTTGTGTTTCAGATACCAAGTGGGGAAAATACTTGGTTCAGATTGACAGAGCTGTGAAGAGCTACAAGCCATGTGTGAAAGAAAATTGTCACTGCTACCAAAAGTAAGGCAGCCAGCATCTCTGAAACTAGTTCAGTTAACATTTACAGAATGGACATGGGATAGAAGGCATCTTCTGTATACAAAAGATCCTCATTTCAGCATTTAACAGATACAGTTGAAAGGACATCATGTAGCAAACATTCTTTGCTTCCTCCCATAGAGAGGGGCTAACAATCAAATTAGACATGGCTGTGTTGACATATCACAGGGGTAGGCAACCTTTCCCCTTTAAGGGCTGAGGGACTTCAGCTCCCAGAATCCCAGGAGCTATTGGCCAGCATGGGACTATTGGCCAACATGGCTAAGGCTTCTGGGAGCTGAAGTCCCTCGGCCCTTAAAGGGGAAAGGTTGCCTACCCCTGGCATATCAGGTTAAAATCATGTTTCAGGATGATATGCATGAACCCCAAGCTCTCCTCCTCCCCACTTCTTGAAAAGTGTAGCTAAACAGTTCTGCCTGGTGCCTCCTTGTTGCCTATGCAAGCTGCAGTGTGGGAGCAGTGGCCATGTCAGCATGCATCATGTGCTGCAGGTGCTGCGCATGTGTTGTGCCAGCTGGAGTGTATGGCCTAGAGCCAGAAGTTAGAAGGGCTGTTGTTTTTAGACAACAGCCTCCAAACTTCTCTAGCCAGTCTGATCACTGGCCATGTTAGGTGGCTGTCTTGGCGTTTTAATTCCCCAAAGTAACTTTTCCATGCTCTGCCTCTTGGCCAGGGGTGCTGACACTGTTCTAGCCATGTGATGCATATCAGTATTGCTACTGACCCTTTGCAGCCTCAGTGGTCCAGCATAACCATTTCTCATAGTAGCAAGGAGGATCCTTTCTGTGTTTTGGCCTGGGCTGGCTGCCACTCTCTCTCTGCTTGCTCAGTTAGGAATCTTTTTCCTGTGATACCCCCTGTGATATACAGGACAAGGCTTAGTGAGCAAGACAGTTTGAAAGCCCCAGGTTATAAAAAGGAAGCAGTTTATCTGGCGGGGAGGCTTTTGTGCCATGCAGTTAGTGGGCCATTGATACCCACTGGGGTTTTGGTTCCAAAATGCCAAAATCTGTGGATGCTCAAGAGCCATTAAATGGCATAGTGAAATGGTGTCCCTTATATAAAATGGCAAAATCAAGGTTTGCGTTTTGGAATTTGTATTTTAAAAAAAATATTTTCAAGCCATGGATGCTTGAATCAGTGGATAAAAAAATCCATGGATAAGGAGGGCTAATAGTACCTTGCTATGATAGCACTTCAACTGCCCAGGGAACATTCTGTGAAATCCTGGGATTTGTAGTTTTGGGAAGGATAATTTAGAATTCTCAGCCAGAGAAGTTTAGGACTTTATCACACCAGTCTACTCTCCTGCCACAGTCATACTGGTTTAAGAATGGAAATATATGGGTTTGACATAATTTCTTATCACACTTTTCTCCATGATTGTGCTTTGGTGACCCATGGTCGCATGATCTGTTTTCCACGCTTCCAAACATCTCCTGTGTGAATGTGCTGCTCCTCTCCCTTCCAAAGTGTGTGCTTTGGGAGGGAGTGGCTGCTAACCACTTCTGGCTGCCAACCACTTCTTGAAGTTAGCTGTTGTGTGAATGTGCATGCAGCAAACAGGTTGTCAGCATGATCACTGCAAGGGGGAGTGAAGGAGAGGAGCAGAAGCATGCCGTGACTACCTGGGAAGCAGAACTGCAGTGGAAGGGACCTATTACATGAAGGCAGAAATGGAGTGGCAGTGAGATGGAGACCCTATTGATGAGTTTTGCCTATCAAGGAAAAGGTGCACTCCAGTAATGAATGGAATGCAGGGCAGCAGCATGAAGAATATGGCATCATGTGATAAGTACTGCCCAAAGATGGGTTTATCCTGTTAAAATTCCACATTTTTGCCTTGTGTGGTAAGGTTCTACGTTTCTTACCAAAATTTCAATCCAAAATTCCACAAAACAGTGATACCTTTTTTTGGGCCAACCAGATGCACAAAATACATGTTGCAAGCTTTCGAAGCTCCACTGGGTTCTTGATCAGGCAAAGATGTTAAAAATCATAAAGGATGGAAACTTTTTTGACAATGGGCCTTTGCAGACTGCCAGAAATAGTGCACATTAAATTGAGGCACTGCCCTGGCTCAGTGCTAGGGAATCATGGGAACTGTAATTTATTGTGGCACCAGAGCTCTCTGACAAAGAAGGCTCAATGTCTCAGGAAAAAAAAAATACAATTCCCATGACTCCCTAGCACTGAGCCAAGGCAGTGCCTCAATTTAATGTGCACTATTTCTGGCAGTCTGCAAAGGCCCAGTGTTAGTCACAAGCCTGCATTTTGTCAAGATGTACCGTATTTTCCGGCGTATAAGACGACCCGCATATAAGACGACCCCCCCCCACTTTAGCCACAGATTTTGCAGGTAAAAAAGTAGTCTTATACGCAGGAAAATAAGGTAGCTATTCTCAGTTCAGATGGTATGGAGGGATATTCATGCAGGCAGGTCCCTCCTCCTTCTGGCCATGTGGGTACTCCAGGAAATAAAACTGTAAGTTCCATTAGCAAGAGAAAGAGAGATGTTCCTCTTGAGATCCAAGTTGCCTCCATCTTTCTTAACACAGCTACCCCGAATAGATTCCACAAGATGTTGCCATGGCACTTGAAGTGAAATCATAGTGCTATAGTTGTGTATCATGAAAGGGCCCCAGGTTTTGGCTTAAGAGCATAGAAATGACTGGGTAACTGAAGAAGAATAGATGTGGTGTCTGTCATGACACCCTCCCACTAGCCATGTGGCATTTGCTATCTCAACCTGGCCCTGAGTTTAGAAACAACTCCCAGAATGTCCATGCTGGCTGGGAATTCTGTGAGTTGTAGTCAAAAAAGTTACTTCCCCAAGCACAAATCACTTCTTGAATGCCTAGTTAAACTTTTGCTATACTGATTTTCCCTAATGTGTTTAATGATGGGTGGAATGTCTCTTTTCTTAGAGTGAGGGAAGCAGATTTGGCTCCCTTTCAAGAGGGAATCTCTGAGGAGTTGCTGTCAGAAGCAATCAGTCGAAGGCTTGGGACACACTACCAGATCATTGAGAATAAGTTGTACCGTGAGCATGACTGCATGTTCCCTGCCAGGTAAGAGCAATTCAAAATCCATTCCAGTAAGAGAGAAACAGGAGAGTCTCCCTTGTCTCCTTAACCTCTGGGTCATTGAGCAGAAAATTTTTGAAAGGGCTACATTCCAATCTAAGAGGAAGAAAGTGATGAGGCCTTACCTTGGTTCCCGTGTAGCAATTGCACCTGCTTTTGTAAGAAATCAATATTGACACTGCACTTTCTCTGTGTGAGGAGGTGATATGGGTTACAAGCTGAAGGGAATTGGGAATAAATGCCTCTGGGGAACAAGGATAATTGGAAGGGATAACTGGCTGAGTTGTTTCTTTGGGTGTCAGAAGGGACTTGTGGCTTCACCCAGCCTGATTTGTAGTACTTGTAAAAAAAGAAGAAAAAAACATTATTCACAAGGTCCCTTACCTCTGTTATTCTCTTGCATTTCTGTCTTGTTCATCTACTTCTTCTTGGTACAGATACCGGAACTTTTATAGCATCAGTGCCATCTACTTTTTAGGATCAGCAATACTAAGGATCAAATACTCCCTCAGCTGCATAGTTTACTAGATGACCTAGACTACCTCACAAGGCTGTTAGGAGGATGCAGTTGAAGGACCGACAGAACTCTATGTTGCTTTGGGGTCCTTAGAAGACAGAACTTGTAAATAACATGTTATAAGTGATGACATTATTTATAGTCAACAATAAATATAATCAAAATAATACTTTTTGGAGTGAATAACATTATAACAAATAATGTTACTTTAGAGGTTATTTGAGGGGATTTGGTCTATTTTTGGACTCCTTACATCCTACCTGTACAGCTGTTGTTGTTATTTCTGACTTATGTTGACCCTAATGCAACCCTAACTGAGATTTTCTGGGGCTGGGAACGGGTGACTTGCTCCAGGTCACCCAGTGGGTTTCCAAGGCCAAGCAGGGAATCGAACCCTGATCTCTAGAGAGTCAAAGTCCAGCACTCAAAACACTACACCAGCTCTCAGCCTACACAGTAGACCAGTACTATTGACCTCATATTATATAACCGAGGTGAGCTAATGGTTTGGAGATTAACCTGTACCGTAGACTCTATGAGACCTAGCAAACAAAGCAAAATGAGAAAACAAAGCAAAACAAGAAAAATAGATTTGACAATAGTGGTAACAGTAATAATAATAAAGTTCTTTTTAACATAAAGAATCTAATGCAGTTTTTTTAAAAAAAAAAACTTAAGAAATATTGAGCATTTCAAAACAGTATACTTAGCTATATTCCATTAGAAATTAAACAGCACTTTAAAAAGTCATTTTAAAATGAATGAAATAGCCACTGGCTTGAGAACATAGGAAAAGCTATACAGTATTCTATCAGTAGGTTCCAATTTATTGTACAGCTTGCTTCTGATAAACAGAACATTCCACAGAAGGATGTGGGATAGGGAGGGCTGGATAAAGTGGGATTCCTTATCCTGAAATGGGTGGTGGATGTGTAACTCTTCAGAGATTGTTGAACTCCCATTCCCATCGTTCCTCAGTATTGGCAGTGTTGGCTAGGCCTCACAGAGTCTACAATACAACATCTGGAGGAAGACACATTGCCCACCCTGCTCTAAAATCTTTACTATTATATTATTATCCTGCTTCCAGAATTTCTGTGCTAAATAACTTTCTCACCATATAGGACATAAATTTCCCCTCTCTTATTCTACCCTCAGTGAATCCATGTATGAAACTTGAGCAAGTTCTATCACTCTTATTCCTAGCTAGCTCTGACACTACTGTGTGCCTACTTCACTACACATGCCTAGTTCTCTGTGAAAGCTAGTTCAGAGAGGCTCAGTGTCATTGTAGGTAAGGTTCTAGTTCTGTAGATATTTAGTCCTGTAACACAGAACACAGGGAATGTAAATGTATGAAGATAATGTGTACTCTTCATAGCTATACTTTGTGTTTCCTTGTCTGCAGATGTAGTGGGGTTGAACACTTCATCCTGGAGATTATTGATGACCTTCCCGATATGGAGATGGTAATCAATGTGCGAGACTACCCCCAGGTGCCTAAATTCATGAAGCCGAGGGTGCCTGTCTTCTCCTTCAGTAAGGTGAGAGAGTGAAAAGTTGCTATCTCATCAAGCGTATTTATTAGGTAGGATCAGCAGGTACCTGGTTTCATTGAATCGATATTGAATAGCTTTGGTGCAATTACCCTGCCTTTCTCTTTTCATTTTCTATAAGACATCAGAATACTACGACATTATGTATCCTGCCTGGACGTTTTGGGAAGGGGGACCAGCTGTTTGGCCCATTTACCCAACTGGCCTAGGACGCTGGGACCTATTGAGACAAGATCTCAAAAGGTATGTTTTCTTAAAAAATAAAGGCTTTTCAGACTTACTCATCTTTGCTTGCAGATGAAACCCATGCAGAATCTGAACTCTTCAGTGTCAAGCACATTTCTTAAGAAATAAATTTTACTTTGTCAGACAGAAGTTGAATATGAACAGCATCACAACACTCTCAGAAATACATAAGCTATGTAAATGCATCTGAGCTGGCTCAGTCTTTGGGCCAAATTGTTTGAAATCCAAACAGAAGTTAGTTCTGTGAGTCAGGAAGAATTTTATTAAGAATGAAATATAAAGTGGCACAGGAATTCCTACAATTTTAATGAAGAGCCAGGGACCCTTTGTTCTGTTGTGGAATGTTCCTATGGGAATTGCACATTGGTTGTAGAGACGGCCATCCACAAAAGTTAATTTTTGGATTTTTGTTAACCGTTGCCTTGCAAAACTGCAAAAGGCATAAAATCACAATTTTTTTTATTTAACACCAACCATTTTATAGAAAAATATTTGACTTCTTAAAATAATGTTAGCATGGCAGGGAGTTGGGCTGGATGGGCTTTGTGGTCTCTTCCAACTCTGTGATTCTATGATTCTATGATTTTTTGCATCTGGAGATTAGCTTGAAATTTTACTTTTTTTTAAATTTTATTAATTAAACATATTACCTACATAAATACATTCAAATAACATAAATACGTACATATAACATTCATACAACTACATTTGTACATAAACTACCACCATACAATCCATACAACTACCCTATCCACTATCCCTCCCATTTAATGCCAACATTCTGACTCTATCAACCATACTTTAAAATTCATTATCTAGTTGTATCTATCGTTATAATAAATTGAGCTATATTAATCTATGCGATTTAGAATTTTCTTCAAAAACTTCCTATCAGCATACCTATCATATCTATCCTGTTATTTAATACATGTTTCTTTTTACCATCCAGTTTTAACTTCCAACTATCTTCCCTCAGCTCAATACCTTTCTTATACAAGTTCCCAACTTTTTCTTTCTCCTATATTTTTCAAACATGACCATTCATCTTTAATTTCTTTACCTCTTATTAAGGTCGTACGTTTGTCCATATTTGCAGCTTCTAGAAGTTTTACTAACCATTCTTCTAATGGGATCGTACCTTTCTTCCAATGTTCGGCAAAGGTCATTCTTGCCGTTGTTATCATATAAAGAATATTTTTTATTTGTATTCTTGTTAACGTCATGTCCGTTTTATTAATCATGTTCAATAAAAATATTTTAGGATCTAATTCAAGTCTAGTTTTCATCACATCGTTAATAATTACCAATATTCTATCCCAATATTTTTTTGCCATTGGGCATTTCCACCACATGTGCATAAAGTTAGCATCTGGTTTCTGGCATTTCCAACATTTTGAATTGCCAATCTTACCGTATATATCTTGTCTAATTTAGTTGGAGTTAAATACCACTGGTGGAACATTTAAAAGTAATTTTCTTTGTAGTTTTGGCATAAAGTAAAATTATTTGTCATTTTCCAAGAGTTTTCCCATTCTTCCAACAAGATAGTCTTACCAATATCTCTTGCCCATTTTGTCATTATGATTTTTATTGTCTCTTTTTCAAGGTCTCTCTTTTTTAAGATTTCGTAATATTTAGACAGATGCTTACTATCTTCTTGAAACATAACTTTGGGAAGTGGAAGTTCATATCAATTAAAATCTATTGAAATGTTACAACAGGAAAACATAAATATTAATTGGTTTTTGTATAATCAATTAATTAATGATGAAATTCAAACAAGACGAAAAAATTATTGGAATTGAGAAAGAGGACAACGAAATTTTGCTTTTAACAAGTCATTTGTTCAAATGTGTATCCTGCTGCAACGAAAATAAATATGCTGCTTCTCAAATGTGAAAGAAACTGACAATTTCCTCTTGATTATCTCAAACTGCAGAGGTGAAGAAAGTGAATACGCATCTGTAGTGCATGCATTTCTGTGAATACACAGAAATAGAATTGTAAAATAGTTTCTTAACTGACTGTGGGACTATTAACATTGTGATGAAGAGCTTGTTTAGCTGGGATGACTTCACCTGTCATGAAAGAGTAGATTCTGAGTACACTGACATTTGTTTGTTTGTTTGTTTATGTAGACAGGTGGGTAAAATTTATATTCTGCCTTACAGGTGTTTATACAATACTGATAACAAAGCTAATAATAAAATAGAATTAGGTTAAAGAACCAAACATTTTATTACCAGTATTATGATTGAAAACAGAGAGAAATGGCAGGTAATATAATGAAAATAACTAAAAAAAAACCCCACCCTAATCCAGTGGTGTGAATACTGTGGCCTTCCAGTTAATCAAATTGCAGCAGCCCCTAGCCAGCATCTGCATGATGAAGGATGTTGGGAGTTGCAGTCCAATAACTTCTGGAGGGCCACAAATTGCCCGCCCTGGCCTAATGTTTTACTTCTGAGGTACTGAGGCATTTTGTATCAGTGTTTTAATATCATCTCTTGATTTAAATTTCTTTAGCTCTGCTGAAACATGGCCTTGGAAGAAGAAGATTTCCAAAGCCTTCTTTCGAGGGTCCAGGTGAGCTGTTCCTACTTCTCAGTACCTTGTTGCTACTGGCAGTTAGTACTGTAATATTTAAGGTGGCCTACAAAAGTTAAAACAAATAGAGCTAAAAATTCACCTCAGACAAAAGTTTAACAAGTTTAAAATGTAATCATTCTATCAAAAATTAAAAACCAGTTAAAACATAGCAATTAAAGGGGAAAGGGCCAATAAACAATAAAGCGCATTATGCAAGGCCCCTTTTCTTTGAGCAATCAGTTTTCAAAGGCCTGCCGAAACAATAAGTTTTAGCTGCCTGCAGAAATATAATAGGGAGGGCATCGATCTAGCTTCTTTTAAGAAGGGACTTTCAGAGCCTGGGAGCAGCCACCGAGAAGGCCCTCTCCTGTGTTTCCACCAGATGTATCTTTGAGGGTGGTGATGCAGAGAAAATGGCCTCCCCAGAAGATCTGAAAATACAGGAAGGCTCATATGGGAGAATTACATCAAACAGAGCTTCTGCATTTTTCTTCACACCATGAAGACCTATAGAAAAATTATATTTGGAATGTGATGAAGAAAGAAAGTGGAGTCTTCCTTGTCCTAAAATTATTCCCCTCTGTTCATCTTCCTGCCATTCTCCCTCCTTCACTCATAGTTTGGTCTTCATTGTCAATATTATTCTCAACTAATTTCCTATTAGACTTCATTAAATGGATCAGATTCTTGTTTATCTGGTCATATAGGTATCAATCAACAACAGAACACTCTTAACAGATATGTCTGTGCTTTCTCTGGTAGGACAAGTTCAGAGCGGGATCCTCTCATCCTCCTTTCTAGAGAAAATCCAGAACTAGTTGATGCAGAGTACACTAAAAACCAAGCCTGGAAGTCTGAAAAAGTAACTACTGTTAAGCCAACTCTTTCCTTTTTCTTGAAGAAATATTCTTTTTCTTATACAACTCTGCTATAAAAGGCTGGCACCAGCAATACGAAGGTTCTCACTTGAAGGGGATAGCAAAATAAGAATTCTGTTAAACTGGAGTAGAGCTTGGAAGAAGCACTTTTTTAGACCTTGGCACTGCAGATATAGGGCCT